CTTCTTAATGCACCCCAGGATCCCATTGGCCTTCTTGTCCATAAGGGCACCTGCTGCCTCATGGTCACCTTGTCGTCCACCGTGACACCCAGGTCCCTCTCTGCAGAGCTGGAGAGGTGGGATCCTCATCCCGCCGTGCTCAGTACCTCTGGCCGGCGAGGAAAGTCCCGCAGCAGTTGGACAATGGAACCAACACGTTTCCTCTCCTGAATGTGTTTTCTGCATCTATGAGCAAGACGCGTTAGCAATTGTAACTCCACGGGGTCGCAGCACTGCGCAGTAAACAAGGTTTTCTAGCAGCCTCCCGTGACCCGGCTTTTAGGAAAGCAGCCGGCGGGATGCCCGGGCCCTGCTCGTCCACAGGGCTCCGAAGCGGAGCAAAGCGGCGGCGCCTGCCACACAAAAACATCCCAAAGGGGCACGTCAGGAAGAGGGGGCTCAGAGGAAGGCCTGGAGACGCGGCCGTGCTGCCTGCCTGCGCTGAAGGACGTTCTGCCTCCAGTGAGGGCAATGGCACGGGCGGCTCGGAGTTTCTGCCCGCTGCTGCTAACGGAGAGCTGAAGTGCCCTTGCGCAGGAGACGGGACCTGCCAGCGTGGGGGAGGCTGTGGCAGCAGCAGCACAGCAGAAGATTGTTTTTGTGAATATTTTGTGGATGTGGGCGAGCAATGAGGAATCGCTTCCCCTTGGCTATGAGCAAACTGCCTTCGTTTTCCCACCCGTGCCTGGCGTCAGGGGTTACTTCCCTGGCAGAGCCAGTAAATCCGGAGGCCAGCAGATGCCGGGCACGGCGACGCGCTCACGCTGCAGGATCGGGCCAGCGGGGAACCTGCTCCGCTCGCCCCCCGGCCCGCCGCAGCCCCGCGCTGCCGCTGCTGCCTGCTCCGGGGCTCTGGCAAGGACGCGGGTTAGCCAACTTCTCACCGACACTATTTGATTTTTGGTCTCATTCCCAAAAACTTAAACTAAACAACATGTTCTTTTATGTGCAGGAAGCCTTCCCGTCTCCTGCTGGCTTAGCATATTCTCCTCCAGTGAGGCATTTATAGCTCCTATCAAAACGCAGACACGGCCACCAAGTAGGCGCCTTGTAAATCCCTAATAGTGCAACGTCCTTCAAGCTACCTCAGCCACCAAGTAGCTGAAAAATACACCAAGAGGCATTTGGGATAGACTTTAACTATCCCCAGAGAATTACCCAGTGCAACGTGATGACCGATTCCCCCAAGACCCCAGAGAAATACTATCCTCTAGTTAAAATTTGCATCCACTCATCTTCCTCACCTCCAGAGCACAAAGACTTTAATTCTCAAGTGTGTAATTGAAAATACAAGGAAAAATGGCATTTCTCCATGCATTCCTCTTGCATATGGAAGGGAGAGTGCAAAGTGCAACTCATTTCAAACTGCTTTTTTGAGCTATTCCCCTGGGGAAAATTCCGGTTGACCATTTGCTGACAGGCAGACGCCGTCGGTGTGCGGGAGGCCCCGGCTGCTCCCTGTTCCCGGCCCATCCTCCTGCAGCACCAGCAGTTGTGCCGGCCTCGCGCTGGCCCGGCCGCAGCCCCCGCTGGGCCCGGAGCGGCTCTGGCAGCTGGGATCCTGCTGCAGCTTTCAGGCTGGAAAGGGACATGGGGGCAGGTCACAGCCTCCGACACCGCTCCGTCCTCCCCCGGCTGGTGCAGCAGCTGCTGGGCAGGCTCCAACCTGGAATCAGGCTTATTCCTGGAAGACGGACCAGGGTTCAAGCAATCCAAGCACACAGATGCTTGAAGGGGGGAGTTACTGCTCTTTGCTAGCGAAAACACACACGTGATTGGGACGCCCTCCCCTTGGGTTAATAAGTCTCCGTGCTGGGGGTTGCCCAGCGAGCACGGAGCCCTGCATGATGCGCGACGCTGCCGGGAGCGCGGCGGCTCCGGGGTCCGCACGGCCCCATGCCGGCGCCCGGGAGCTTGTGCTGGACCCGCGCACCAGGATCTGCTCCGTGGACACGATGCTCAAGGGCGATGTTCACAGAGTGACTCACTTGCACAGCGGTGCTCCTCGTGGCTCCGGTTCCGGAGACCTGCTTATCCTGGGCACGGGCCAGCTGGGGTGTCTGTGCATCCGGGATGCAGCCGACGTGCAGCCCGGATAACCCACCCACTGACTGCGCAGCAGGGAAGGCGCACGGAAAAGCCTCAAACGCGGAGGGGACTGGGCTCCTGCACCCGCTCCCGAGATTTCCTCTGGCAGGACGAGGCTTCCAGCTGGCACCGTCACCCTTGCACTGTGCCTAGAGAAACTCGAGTAAATCAGAGGTCTCGCCGACATAAACAGCTGCAGCTATTTAACGGAGGCGTGCGTTAGCGTGGGGTTAGCCAGGCTGGTGCAAAAATCTGCACAACTGCACATGCACTTGGTATGTGCCACAAACCCGCACGCGCACCGAGGCGCCGCACAGCTGACGCAGCAGCTGCTGGTGCAGGCAGGGCCACCGGAGCCCGGGAAGCACCGCGGTCCCAAGGGACAGCCC